ACTCCGGGTAATCCAAGCCAGGACTGCTTTGCAAGCGGGGAACCCCTGAGAACTGTCTGTCCGGGGTGGGGGTTGGGTCCCTTTAAGAACAGCCCTCGGCTAGCCTGAGACAGCATCTCCATGCTCTAAGTCCTCCTCTGATGCCCTGCCGGCACTGCTTCCGGCCATCCTTAACCCCGGTTCAGGGTCCACTTAATGTGGACATGCTAGTTCGAATTAGCAAAACGCTAATTCGAACTAGTTTTTTAGTCTGGATCCGTTAGTTCGAATTAGCTTGGTTCGAATTAGCACTGTAGTGTAGACATACCCCAATGGATTAACACATTAATAGAATGGGAAAAAATAGTGGCTCAAGGAGGGTGGAGAGCAGCAAGCAGGGGCTAAGGGAGGGATCATAGTGGGGGTAGGAAGACGTGAGGGAGGGCGGGGCCTTGGGGAAGGGGGTGGTGTCAAGGCCAGGTCTTGTGGGAAGGGGCTGAGTGAAGGCTGGGGCCTCAGGTGGGGCGATGTTGGAGCACCCCCAAGGAAAAATAAAAGCTGGCACCTATGTGCAAAGGTAAAGTTTGCCAGAGCTGACTGCAAAGGGAATGGGGCTAGCGGATCAGAAACCTCATGAAGAACTAGGCTCAAAAGAAAGTAAAAGATTGTGCCCTCTGTGGAAAGCTTAGCTCCCAAATGCACGCAAAGGCCCTGCAAGCCTAAGAATGGGGACACGAACTGGAGGCCAGGGTTGCAAAGCCTGGAGGATTCTGGGACTAAAGCCGAAAAAACAAAGTAAGTCTCCTATGAAGACTCACTACAGCTGGGCCTTTGGCCCTGAGGTTTCTTTCATATACGGGAGCTGCACGAGATGGGGAAATGAAAAGTGAGCTTTCCAAAGAGGGTTACGTCTCCATTAAACTTTATTCAAACCCAGCCGCTGTGGCTGTCAGCTGCCGTGGCGTTCTTAGTCATTCAATGCTGCCCTTAGTCCCCCAGCCTGGATTCTCTAGTCCAGTTCAAGCAGTCGCTCCAGCAGAGCGTATTCCTTCCGCGGCTTCTCGTCATGTGCTCTGCAGCCCTCCTCGTCAAGCCATCCGTGTGCCTGTCCGGTCTGTCACGGCAGAGGAGAGCCCGAGCACCAGCAAGTTACACATCACTGCCTGCTATGCCATTACTTCTCACCGGTGTCATCCACAACCGGGAGACTCTCATACGATGCAAAGTCACTGGCGCTCGCGGTAGGTGGATTAGTGTTGCTGGGCTTTGAAATGGAGAGATGTTCGAATTCGGGCAAGAAGCCCGATATCCTCGGGCTGCCTGGACACTCCTCGGGCTTGCACATGATGCAGTCCTGCAAGGAGCAGGCCTTTTCCTCCCAGAATTCACTAGCCTTAAGGTTCACTGTGATGTTTTCAGCCGAAACCACAAAGTGCCGTATTCGCGCCTGTTTGTGTAACTCGCACATGCAGACCCAGGGCTGCCAACTGTTCCAGTGGAAAAGCTGATCCCCTGTAGAGAGTCAAATCAGACACATGGGCAGAGGGGACGGGAAACAGAGCCATTTGAAGATAGGCAAAGTGCTAACAAATTTTGGGAGGGGGAAGCATCGTAAATGGCAGATGATCCTGGGAGAGCAGCGATAGGCTACACATCTGGTATGATGATATGCTTCTGGGAGTCAGTGGCACAGCTCCCACTGATGGCAGTGAATGCAGGAATGGGCACTTTTGCTCAGAAGGACAGTACTTAGAACTGGGAAGAAAGAGACGAGGGTTTTGAAATATGTAATTGAGATAATGTCTTAATGTGGCAAGTACACTCGCTTTGTGAGAGCGTATTTGCAGGCCAGGTCTACACTAGACCTGGCAGCTTGGCTTAAGGTACACAATGTAGCATACGCAGCTGAAGTCGGTTTACCTTAAACCAAGCTTGGCAACGTCCCCACAACAGAAGGCGGACACCAGCTTTCCTTTCCTCACAAAAGCAGGAGTACCAGACACCAGTGGGGGCACCTTCTGAGTTCGATTTAGCGAGTCTTAACTAGAGTCACTAAATCAAACTCTGGAAGATCAATCATAGCAAGGTCGATATCCTTGCAGAGTGAAGACAAGGCCTCAGACAGCTAGTGGATTGGTTTGGGCATGTTGACCACTACTTATTATACTGCAACAGGATTGAATCAGGTTCCGTGAAAAGGGCCAAAGAACTTTGCGATGACAAAAATGGTAAAAGGCGAAAGCCGGGTAGATGGAAAATGTCTGTCAGATCAGGCAGTAAAACTTTCTGCCACTTTGCCTCATCTCTGATCTGGAGTGATCACCTCACAGCGGTGGCCACTCTGCTAAGACTACGCACAGAGTTTAACTGGGATGGTCATCTTGGTGATGTTGTCACACCTCCTTCCGGAACTGGTCTGAGGCCCATTGACTTGCTTCATGACCTCACCCAACAGCCATGGGATGGTAACATCTTTCACAGACCTGGGCTACATTCGAGTTAGTCACCTAGATATACCTAGAGGGTCTGTAGTCAGTTTCTAATCCCCAGTGCCATACAGGCCCTGACTAGAGCATCAGTTGGACACTAATGATCAAATAAAATCACCTTCCACCTGACTTTGCTGGAACTTGTAAGCTCTTTGAGACTGGGAATATTCTGTTCTTGTACAGTGTTTAGCCCACTGAGGTTCTGGTCCATGAGCAGAGTTTGTAGGCACAATTCAAATATCAATAGTCACAATTACCTACAGTCTGTTGTATGCTGGCACCACTAACACACTCTAGCAACCATAGCTCAAAGCTCAGGAAGAGCAACATATTCAGTCCCTCTTCCATGCAGGTTAGTGCAGGACAAATACTCTGGCTGGATCATAAAATCCCTGATGCACAGAGTCCACCTGGACGTGTTGGAACCTAGTAGGGGATATTTACTTGCTCCCATAGCAACATCACAAAAGGCCATCAAACAGCTGCCATTCTATAGAACACATGTGCCAGCTAACGTCTTCGGAACTCCCTGTGCCTGGCTTCCTTTCGGTTCGGCAGAGCCCAGTTCTACGTACCAGGGAACATGGTCAAGTGTATTTTGGGAAGCTGGCTTCCCTTTCATGGCGTCCAGTACAGGTTGCTGATATGCAGCAGGACACTAACAGAATCCCTTGGTCTCCCAGACATAGCTGGTTGCCAGATGGAGCCAAAGAGTTCACTCATCTATTTAAAAAGGCAGCATGGTCTGTAGGAATGAATGAGCATAGTCCTGGGAGCCAGGCAACCTAAGTTGTAATCCTCGTTCTGCCACTGATGTGCTCTGTGGCCTTGCAGAAGTTACTTAACCTTCCTTGGCTTCCGCTTTCCCCATTAGACATATGGGGATAAGGTATGTGGATGGAGGTTTAACAGAAGCAGTTACATGGACATGGTGTAGATGTGGTGGTGTGTGGAATGGACCAGTGGAGGGGTAACACTATATACATTGCAGAGAGGAACTGGGAAAGGATTTATGATTTGATGGCTTGGAGGTGAAAAGGTTTTAAGGAGTCTCTCCTATAATAAGCTCTCCTAATCAAGTTTTACTGCTGTAATTTGTACTCATCTGTGGGGTAGTTCTAGTTTCTGTAATCCAAAAATGGAAAGAACTTCACGCTTTGCATTATATTTGATATATGGGACAGTGACCCTCTCTCGCACTGCATTCAGATTGAGGCAATGAAACTAAAGTGATTGGTTGCACTTTCCATTTCAAGTCAGTTTAATTTTCTATTTCTCATCTAGTCGCCCAACACAACCACATCTAAACTTCCAACACTAGAGAGGAATGAATGCTTCATATTAAAAAAACGTTAAACATTAATATTATTACATGCGTAGCCTTGCAAAATTAATGTCTGCTTTTTAGAAAAATTCACAACCTATATTTTGTACCTGTAGTAAGTTCTGAACATTAATAGACAATAAGCCCAACACATCTCTTGTTGTAAGCCCAAAGAAGTCAATGGTGTTGTGCTAGGGATATTAACTGTTACCAAGTTACTTGGTAAGCATTACCCTTAATGAGTGATGCTTAACAGGTAATGGTTAACCAGTACCTGGGGAGCAGCCCCTTACCCATGGCTCTCCATGGGGCTGCTGCTTCCGGTTAACTAATTAAATGGGATTTTACATCCCTATGTTACACCTTAGGGATAAATTTGGAGCAAGGTTTCTAAGTACTCTTCTGTGTTAAGAAGACTTAACTACAATCTGTAGAATTCCTACATTTCAGGTGTTATAGGAGAAAATATAAAACTCCTTTCTTGTTTTCAAAAGAAAAAATAAAAGCACACCACAAAACACACAATTATTTCAATGCAATTAAAAATTCTATGAGCAGGTTGTCAAGATGCCTTCCCAGCCTTTTACAATCAGAGGCAAACAAAACTTCAGAACATTCTAAGGCATTCTGTGGCCTTGTGATTCACAAAACACCTTTTTCTTGGCTAATCATTCCCCCCCTCTCCAGCAGGTCTATGTTAACTACGATTCACCAATTCCTTTGTTGAAAGATAATGTGCAAATCGAAATACGTGTTTCTAACTGGAACTAAAACACAGTCATTCTTGCGTAACGTAAGAAGTTGAGTCCCAAGCCTCCTGGAAGCATGAAATTGAGCATCTTTGCATACCTCATGCTGTGCCATGCAGCTCAGAGTCCTAACTCCTTGTTCAGAGAGTCAGAATCCTGGGTTTGATGAGTCAGCCTTAGTGCTCTTATGTGCTGAATGGATGAACTCTCTCTATATGTCTACTGCAACATCCCCTATGGCTGTTCTGTTACAGGGATCAGTACTAGTCATCCTGTTTTCTTCAGCCTACCAGATGTCTCTTACCGCAACTGACCATGTACAGTCAACGTTCGCTGTACATTCAATTTATACCCCTGGTTGGGAAAGTACAAATATGCACACAACTGCAGGGACTGCGTGCATAAATGGCCAGTTAGATGCAAAACTTTCCGCAACTGGCTAATTGCAACTTGTGTGATTCTAATGGATTTTTGTGAGGGCATTTGCACTCGCAGGGCTCAGAAAAATCTCTCCTCTAAAGGCTCGTTTTCAGGCAAACACCGTCATTTCTGCTCATTCCCAATATCCCACACGGCGCCTGGGGAGGTAATCAGGTCCGCAGCTCACATGGTTGAGACAATAGGACTTTAATTCAGAGTTGCTCTGTAGTATAGTGACTGGTCTCGAGCTCTCTGCTGAGCATGGCTAAGTCTGAAATGAGCTGAGCGGGACAGATTTAAGAGCTGGTCCGTCCTGGTTCCTCCTGATATCCGGGACGCCAAGGTCTAGAACCAAAACAAAGACTCAATCAACCTATAAAACCAAACAACCCACTCCCCCATCTCGGGACCACACAGAAAGCCTTACAACACACTTTTGGCTCAGTACCATGTCTCCTATCTCCATTAACCCTTTCGCTGCAACCATATGCTGCAGCATTGCAGCATCCCCATTAGAAGGCTGATGTTCTCAGCTCCACATGCAGCAAGTGGGGAAACTGAGCCCAGTGCGTGCTCGGCTTCCTGTTCAACTGTCAGTGCACTACTCTCCTTCCCAAAGCACACGCAAGATGCTGGGCCCTTGAAAACAGGGCAAGTGTGACTCCAAAGAGCCTGTTCTTACCGGGTGAGATGGGTCAGTGGGTTTTTGTTCCAGTGAAGTTCGCAGATCCAGACTACTAAGTGTGGGGCTGGTGGAGGGGACGACGTTCTCCCAGCCGGCCAGGCAGTGCTGCGGGGAGAGGTTCTTCCTGTGAATGCCTTCTCTGCCAGTGTACACCCCACCCCCAGAAAAGCCACGGCCCAGTCCCTCCAAAAGGAGGCCTCAAGAGACTGTTGAATTCATTTCTTTAAGAGCTTTATGGTCACAAAGAGGGGACCGATGAGAACTTTGCAGATGCTCTAAAGTGCTGTGGCCAAACTTGCTCTCTCTTTCCCCGCCTTCACTGACTTCCAGCCATTTCCAAAAGCAGTTTAAAAATCAATTAAATCAAAATAATTAGATTTAAAATTTTTTTAATTAAATACACCTCCCCCCAATTAAAGCTAATTAAAATTAAATTTGAAATTAGAACAAACTATGTTTAGGCCTAACTTTACTAGACTCTTAACATCTTTTACATTAAATACAAGTAATAACAGTCATACAGTATATGTTGACTTCTAAAGTTTTAAAGAAAGTCAAAACCCAGAACTGATGGAAGTTACTGGCTAAGTGCTTAGTCAGAATTCATTGAAATGGTAAACCAGATTTTAACTGCAGGAGCCTATTCTGCAACTAGACAGAGAATTTTCTTCATTGCAGTTTAGTCAACTAGTTCAGTTCAAAGCTGAGAAACGCACTACGAGTCAGAAAACAGGCAAGTTTATTCCCACCCTCTTTTCCAATCAATAGATAAAAAACAGGTGTGAAATCATAGTATCATAGTATACTAGGACTGGAAGGGACCTTGAGAGATCATCGAGTCCAGTCCCCTGCCCTCATAGCAGGACCAAATACTGTCTTCTAGACCATCCCTGATAGACATTTATCTAATCTACTCTTAAATATCTCCACAGATGGAGATTCCACAACCTCCCTGGGCAATTTATTCCAGTGTTTGACTACCCTGACAGTTGGGAACTTTTTCCTAATGTCCAACCTAAACCTCCCTTGCTGCAGTTTAAGAATGGTGAAATCTACTAGTTCTAAGATCTTTAAGGACATGGTGACCAGAAACAATCTGTTGAATTCACTACTATAGGTAGTACTTCCTTTGTTTAATAAATCAGTTAGTTTTAAAACACAAAACGTTTTGATGACCTCAGTTAATGTTTTCTTATGCATCCAGCATGCTTACTTTAAAAAAAAAAAAAAACATTTTAAGATGCTGGGTTTGGGCACTTTTAATTGTGTTCCAACTTCCATCTAAATGCAGCTTGTGGCAAAAAATGCAATTAAAAATGTATTGTCTACTAAATAAGAAATGCTTCATAAATGTGATGCATCATAATAAAACATAATGCATCATAATAAAATGTAATAAATTGCATTATTTTCTAACAATAAAAAAGTAGCCAAATTAAGAATCTCAATAAATGAATGTTAAGCTATAGAATTTCTTGGTTAGCAAAAAAGAAGAAGTACCAAGCAATCACACCCAACATTTCTGTACGGAAATAAGTAAAAGTACAAACACAAAGAAGATTAAAATGTATTATTTAAATCAAGGTTTCCTTTTTGCTGTTTGAAACCAAATATCAAATCAAAGGGGGTTGCAATGAGAGAAAAGATGGGTGAGATAAAAACCTGCTTGCTCTTTTATGGTGGGATCCACATGGGAGCAACTACACTGTGTACAACACATAGTTGCAAGATATGTCATCAGCTTCCTGAGTTCTGTGAACTCAATGCACTGGCCTCATCTCCATTTACCCACTCAGCTCCTCCACACTGAATCTAGGCTGGAGCTATGCAAATAATCTGGCATTAAAAATTAAAGTTTCAGGTTGTATCCTAAGAGCTACCATATATACTCGACCATAAGCCCATTCGTTCATAAGCTGACCCCACAAGTTAAAAAAAATGGTAAAAATCACAATGAACCATTCAACAGCTGACTCTATATTGGCAGTTTACAAACTTCCAGTCCCAGCTTGTCAGCATAAGCCACTGGCACATCGGAACGTTTTGTTTACCTGAAACATCTGCAGGCACGAAGACTCTCAGCTCCCATTGATTGCTGTTTGCAGTTCACACCCAATGGGAGCTGCGGGAAGCAGCGTGGTCCTAGGGATGTGCTAGCTGCTGCTTGCTGCCACTCCCGTTGACCTGGAATGGTGAACAGCATCCACTGAGAGCTCAGGGGCTCCGTGCCTGCAGACATTCCAGGTACATAAAACATTCCGGCATGTCAGCAGTTTGCCCTGCCGGACTGGGAACTGAAGTTGGCCGACCACTGCCCCTCACGCCAAGTTAAAAAAAAATTGGTAAAATGCAACGACCCATTCATAAACCAACTGCTGCTATGTACTGCATGATTTTTTACCAAAAACATTAGGCTTAGGATTGAGTATATATGGTACTTTTAAAGTTTTCAGGGGATTGACAAGCCAAAAGAACATTTGTGTTGTATCAAACTGTTTTGCTTGATCCAAAACATAACATTTCCTTCCAATTTAGAAAGGTTTTTTTTTTAAATCAAATTGAAAGAAATTTCAAATTAAGTTGTTTTGAACTGAAAAAAAGTCAGAATGTTTCCTTAAGAAATGGTCAAAACTAAATGTTTCTATTTTCCTGGAAAACAATATTTTACAGTTTGGTTTATTTTACTGAGACAGATTAGTGAAATTGACTTGAATTTACAAAATGTTTCAGTCAATGTGAATAGCCCAGCAGCCTGGGCGCCGGGAGCCTGAGTCAGCTGGTATGGCCAGTCGTGGGACTTTATTTGCTTTGTAGACATACCCTGCGTCACCTTGTCTTCATAAACGCCTACCTTCTTTGCTCTAGGGTTTTGGCCCACAATCTGCCCATTCATTCTGCCTGTCTCCTTTTACTTTCTGTTCACTGCATTTTACTGGCAAAAGCTATTTGCCATTTGCAAACAGTAAAGACACCATCTGTTTTTCTCTTTCTGCTGCGCTCTTTTGCCCTGTCTGTCTGTAGGAGAGTTGCTGAACCAGCTCTTCCGGCATCTGCTCTCTGTGTTCACCGCTTGGACACGCACACTATTCAGAGGATTGTATGAATTATGTTGTGTTACAGAGGGGCATGAGCTGCAGAGGCTGCACCTAGGTTGGGCTCTTCCTGACTCTCACAATAATTTGGCTAGCCTCCAAGCCTACCTCTGAACTGCCCCATAGTCTGCGGGTGTTCAGCTTTGGCATCTTAGCGGAAACTCATCCCTAGCATTTCTACATCAAGGCTCTTGGTCCTCTACTTTTGGGAACATGCTGGTATTACCATTCACCTGGTGACGATGCAGCCTCCTGCCTAACAGTCACATGGGAAGGTGGAAACCTACCGAGGGTAAAGCCAGATTGTCCGTTGGTTCAAAGCTCTTCCTGCGATGGATTCTGAACTTATAGGCAGGCAGGAGGGTGGACCTGGGAATGCTGACCCTGCAACCAACCAGAGGAAGTAACTGCACAGGTCCACCAGAAGAGAATCTCAGAGAAGGAGGCATCTGCACTCCTCCTTCCACCACTGGAGTCTTAGGGCCCCATCCAACGCCTACTCAAGTCAATGGGCTGGATAAGATCCTTGGGGCTGGAGCTGTACATCCAAAGTCTGGACTAAATGCAGCCCTGAGGTAAGAGGGTACATCTGCCTTAGGCTCTATATGGGAGCTGCTCCTGCTTACAACAAAGCTGAATAGGACCCTTTTCAAAGCCTGGACCTCCCTCTACACCAGGGTTAGCAAACTTTTTGGCCTGCGGATATGGAAATGGCCTGGTGGGCCATGAATGATGACAAAATTGCAGCTGCGCTGTTGGAGGGGGGGAGGGTTCTGACTGAGGGGGTGGGCGCTGGGGTAGGGCTGGGGATGAGAGATTTGGGGAGTGGGAGGTGGCTCCAAATTGGGATCGAGGGCAGGAGCGGGATCAGAATTGGGGAAGGGAGCTGGAGTGGGAAGGGAGGCTGAGGGGAGCAGGCAGCAGGAGGTACATACCTCAAGCAATTCCCGGAAGCAGAGGCACGTCCCTCCAGCTCCTATGCAGAAGCACTATCAGGAGGCTCTGTGCGTTGCCCTCCTCCCCCCTTCTGCAGGCATTGCTGCTGCAGCTCCCCTTGACTGCATTTCCCAGCCAACACATCCCTGCTTCTGGGAGCTATATGGAGCCATGGCAAATGTGGAGTCAGGCAAGCCCCCAGTTCTGCTCCCCAGCAGAAGCTCCAGGCCAGGTGAGGATGACTAACAAACCAGTTGCCGCCCACGGGCCGCAGTTTTCCCACTCCTGCTCTGCACTAAGACAGCAACTTTATAAGGAGGCACTTCAAAGGGGCCTCCTCCCACATGCTGAGCTCTCGCTTTTTCTGCCCCGATGGCTTCCTGCAATACAGGCGATGAGCACCGCAGAGCCCGTCTGTACAGACCTGACGTAGGCTGGTTCTTCCAGTGTCTCTGGAGGCCTTCGGGCTCGCGGGGTCTTGCACACGGGGCAGGCAGACCCAGAATCCACAGGGACGGTAAAGAGGCGCCTATTTAACCGATAGCAATAAACACCTGCCACACAGAGGAGAGAGCATCGTGTCACTCATAGCCGGCAGCTTCTCCTCAGAGCCTGGCTTTCAAGCACACCAGGCACCATACACACTATACAGCAGGGCTACTCAACTTTGGAAGCCCTGGGGCCACAATGATACTCACAGCACATGCTGAGGGCCGCAACTTAATGTGGTTGCATGTACATGCAAATATAAATGCAAATAGCTTCTTTCACACTGGCAGGCATGAATTCAAAGATTAAGGCAAGACTACACAACACGCAGGCCCCATTTAAGTCAGTTCTGCTGATATTAATAAAATGCAATAGTTACCCAATTTCCTCCCATATGACACCACTTTTAATGAGCAACAACAGTCCAAGCATTTAACGACTAAAAAATGTAATATCAACCCAAACTGCACAGTAAACCCAAACCGCACCGCGGGCCACAAACAAACAGGCAGCAGTTGGCCCACGGGCCGCATGTTGAGTAGCCCTCCTATACAAAGGGCTGCTTTTCTCCCAAAGTACTTTGTACATGTTACTTTCCCTCCTCTTCAACTATTTCCTGAAAACAGACACAGATGTAACTGAACTCAAAGCACAGTGGGTCAGGGCAATTACAGAGAACTCTGCAGAGACAGAGTCCGTGTGAAAGAGATTCAACAAAAGGACTCCTGCTGAGGCAAGACAGTCGTTGAACTGTAAATTCCTCCCAGGCCTTTTCAAAAAGGCTCTCTTCAGGGGTTTCCCAAAAAGAAAGTCACAGGGCACAGAAACTAGATTGGGACGGCATCTCATCTTACACTGATGGGAACTGGAAATGCAATCTGCTTCTTGCGAAGGAGCCAAGGAATCTGATGCCTCGAGCCTAGGGAAATAAAGATTCAGTCACAGCTGTGCACTGTGAAAACAGCAATATCCCCCTAGTTGGGGGGCAGAAGCGACTGAGGAAAGGGAGCTGAGGTAAGGGGGCACTAGCCACGAGACCCTGCCCCTCCCCGCCTGCGAAAGAGCCAGAACAACCTCCCTCTACCTCAGGCCCTGCCCCCTCCCTGCTTTGCCCTCTCCCCATCCTTGCTCCACCTGCTGCCCATTTCTGCTCTGCCCACTTCCCTGAGCAATGTGGCCTGGGGGACTAACAGGGTCAGGGGCTGCCCCAGGAGAAGCAGAGCAACCACCCCAGCTGGCTGGGCTCTGCGGGGTAGGCTGCAGGTGAGTGCAGGCCAGTCTTGCACCCCCCCAGAGCAACGCGGCTAGAGGAGCACAGTGAACTGTGGTCGAGTTGCTCCGTTCGCTGTAGTAAGACGAAGGCCTGAGACATAAGCCCACGTATCACAGGCCAGCTATGAGGCCTGAAGCCTAGATAGCAATGGGCAAGACTTTGCTAATATAAAGCAGAGTTAAGCTGGGAGCAAGAGGCAGGCCATGCTCACAGAACTTGGCACGAACAAGGCTGGTATTACAAAAACAATCGTATCTAAGAGGTACTAGGCACAGGCTGTAAACACATTCCAGAGGGGTCAAAACAGAACACGGTGTTAGGAAACATCTTGACACCAACCTCCTCCCCATAGGTAACAAGAGCATACCGGCCTAGGTTCAGGACCGGCTCTAAACTGACAGCATGATAGATACTAATTGAACCTCTCTTATATGAGGTAAGGGGAGGTAACTAAGTAACCGGAGGAGGCAACCTGATACGTCAGGAGTGATGTATAACTTCTTTATACCTGTCTATAAAAGTGCACCCCGAAGAGGTGTCTTTGTCCAGCCAAGGGGGCAACAGCAGAATCCCTACATTGACTGAGCTGAGTCCATTGTCGGGGGTACATATGCAAAGACTCGCCATTGCACCACTGACAATTACTATCGTATTTCGTTTGGCAATAAACCTGGCTGGGTGCCTTCGATCCTTATCTGATTTTGTGCTCCCTAGGGGCTCTCTCGGAGTCTGCTGTGTTGACTAACTGTGTATGGTCAACACAGTGAATAGGGCAGCAAACGCAGCCAAACCGTTATCATCAGAAACGGAGCAGGAGATGCCACACCAGTGGACCCTGACTACTACACTTGCTTTGGGCATCAGGCCCCTCCTCGCTAGTTTTTCCGCCAGCTGCTGACTGGCCCCTCCAGTCCATGCCGAGGAGGGGCATGTGACCCTTCATGCCCCGACATGTTGCCTATGTTGGGGGGAGGAGTCTCTTGCTGTCTAGACTTCCCTTTAGACTGGCTTGGTGAGGAAATCATCCGTCAAGTATCCGTCATGCTTACATCAAGAAGTGAAAGGGCTGTTCCAAGAGCAAATGCCCATTCCCGGATAGAGGATGACAGGGACAGACCTTGATGACAGGGACTAGTTCAGAAATCCATTTAATTGCTCCCCCACCCGATGTTCCTGATTTCTTGACCATGTAGGACTGGTACAGTTCACCCTCTGCCCTAGGCTTTCATTCAATAGCAAACATCTCCCCGTAAAGAAAGCAAACACTCAGGCCAGTTCTACGCTAAACGGGAAGGTTGAATTAAGATATACAACTCCAGCAACACTAATTACGTACCTTAACTTGAGTTTCCCCGCTGTCCCCATAGCGGGAGGCCGACGGGAGCAAATGCTTCCATAGGCTTCCCTTACTCCTTGCAGGAGCAGGAGTACCAGCCACCAACAGGGGCACCCTCTGAATTTGATCAAGTGGGTCTTTACTAGACCCACTAAATCAAACTCTAAGATGGATCACAGCAGCGTTGATCTTCCCTGGAGGAAAGACATGGCGTCAGTGGCCTGCTGATAGGCTGGATGAGCCACCCCTGACCATTCTCACCTGTGCTTTTTTTGTAAGAAAAAAGGTGCCCAGGGGAAAGCTGTTGAGCATCTCCTCCCCCACAAAAAAAGTGGCCCCTTTAAGAACCGCGTGTCCTGAGTGGGCTTCTGTCGGGAGCCAAGCCGCCCCAGGAAAATGCCGGTGAAGTCTCCTCTGACAAAAGGTGCCGGTATGCCCGAGGGGAATGTCGTTCATTTCCTGTATGCTGGGAAAACAGGTGTCGGTACACCGGACCGGGGCGTACCATCACTAAAAAAGCACTGATTCTCACAGTCACTTATTCCAGACAGGAGCTAGCAAACCCTCCCACCAGTTCTTCCCTTGTTCCTGGCACAGCTCATTGTCACCTTAGTCCCCCTCCTTACCCCAGGTCTTGCTCATGGACACATGCTTCCTTGTTCACCTGCCGGAACTCCCTGAGTTCGGAAAAGTACTGCTCCGATTTCTCAGACAGCGATGAGTCCGTGTCCAGCAGCCCTGGGAACAGTAAGCAGAGAAGGCAATTCAAAGCTGGAATTACATCGGGTGACAAAACAAAGCTTATCTAACCCAGGTGCGGAGTGCCAAACAGGGCGACTAGTCAGAGCAGCAGATACGGCCAACTGCGGAGAATCTGGCTCTGTTGAAGGAACGACACCTGGCAGCATCACTGATCCAGAGAGCCCAGCCTAGAAACGATCTCTCCTCCTCATTTCCTTCGTTCTTCTTCTGCAACTCTGTGCCCCACTCGAATTCTCTCAGCCCCACAGCAGCTGTACCGATTCCCGGCCAGTCTCCTCACGCCGTTCCAGGAAAGCACAGTCATTTCTGCACCGACTGTGGAACTGTGTCTGCTTGGTAAAGCTGCAACTCTTGTGCTGAGGACAATAGCCAGCTTTCAGCTTGCCACAACAGCTCACCACACCCTGGCTCTAAAGCACACCAAAGCTCCAGGCCTGGGCCTGCACCTCCAACAGTACCCTTTGGCACATGAGAGGTGAGTTGGGGTTTTGCCCCTGGCGTTACCCAATCACCCCAGTGATTACACAGATGGGGAAGGGGGAAGGAACGGGAGGTTGGGGCTCACCTGCAATCCAGTCGTAGCCCAAGAAAGGACGCACTGACCAGCTAGTGGCAGGGATGGTGTATTCCTCAGGGTCTGACAGAAAAGTCACATGGCTGGCTTCCTTCTGGGGAGAAATGAGTTCACGGTTCACCAAAAGCTCCTTATACAGCTACAAGGGACTGTGCTCCTCAAAGGGATATATCTGCTAGCTGCACCACGAGGGGCAGCTGTGGTCTAGTGACCTGGGCTGGGAAATCTGGGCTCTAGTCTCAGTTCTTCCAGCAAGTCACTGCATATGGCTTTGGGTGAGTCTCTTGGCCTTCTCTGCCTCTGTTCCCCCACCTGCAAAATGGAGACCTGTGGCCACGGCTACGCAAGTCAGAGCCATTATTAGGGATGTAAAATCCTATTTAATCAATTAACTGCTTAACTGGGATTTTGTGGGGGAGGGGACACTCCAGCACAGCTAGGCCTGCTGCGCTACAGTCTGTCCCAGTCTGGCTGGGCCAAGCCTGTTGCGCCCTGCCGTGCTGACAACACTACAACGGGCTGCCCGGAGGTGCCTACCAGGATGACTGCAACGATTTGTGCCAGACATATTCTCTGTGCTTATGGAGACAAGTTGGACAAGGAGGTGACCCGCCCTGACCCACCCCTCCCCGCCCCTTTGAGGGAAGCCAGTAACTGTGCCATACAAGCCACCTGTCCCATATGTCCATGGTGAGGGCTTGGCTCTCACTGCACAGAGAAAGGGGGAAGGTGAGATGCCAGGGGCCCAGGCTCAACTACTAGGAATGGAAAAATTTGGACTCTGGTATTTATTTCCCCTCCACCTGGTTTGATGCCCTTACCTTGGGTTCTTTACCCTGAGGTGTTAGCAGGATTGATTTGGGAGTCTGGGGGTCTCTAATAGCCGCTCGCCGCCGGCTGTTCCCTTCCGTTGGGGTCCTGCCCGGCACTGACTTTGCCTCAGCCCTTGGCTTGCCCCTCTGCTGGGGACTGTGGAGGAAGGTAGATTGCTTTCTGCTCTCTCTCTGTTTCACAAGGATGGATTCTTCCTCTGGCCTTCTCAAGCCATTGCTGCTTCTAGCCATTCTGGAGGTTTCTCTGGCGGTGGCAGCTACTGGTGTGAAGCTTCGTTCTGCCTTAGGGGAGCCCAGCTCCGGCCCAGCTCGGAGGTGCAGCATCCCTCTCCTCTCCCTGCTGCATGCTGTGGGTTTCAATGGTGAACGAAGGGCTGCCCTGGCTGTGCTGGCTCCGGGTTCCACAGAGGTTAACCCCGCAGGGTCCGCTGCGCCCTTCGTAGCGTGGATGTGATTCTCCTTCTGCAACGAGCACAGAGCCCACACATCACACAGAGACTGCTCAGGAATTAGCTCCATAAATCAATGGCAGCTCAGCCTCTTGTAATATTCTATGCTTGTCCTCCCTGCCACGCTACCGTCTTACCGAGGCTTCTGGAGGGAGCAGGGGAAGGCCTCATGTTGTGCTTAAGCCACATCTGCTCACTGCAGGGAGTGGGTGCAAATAGGCTACATCACAGGTGAGAATCGCTGCAACAGGTGGCCTCTGAGGTGGAGGGGAATTAGAGGATAATGATATAAAACACCCCTCCTCCCCCCAGGGATGTGAACCTGTATCCAAGTACATGGTTCATCAATGAGCCTGGGCTCATTGGTTAACCTTCTCAGTTACATGCAGCACCCTTACCCCGCCTCTGTATCCTACAGAGACAGCAGTGTGTGGGGGAGGGGTGGAAGGCAGGCGGGAGTTGTTACACACAGGGAGCCAGCTTTTAAACTGTCTCCTTGTGTGTGCCAGCTCCGGCGGAGCCGCTCCCCTCCCCCAGGCTGCTGCTTCCTAGGGAGGCAGCAGTATTGGTAGGGGGAGGCAAGAGCCCAGCTTAAAAGCTAGCTCCCCCTGCGCATCAGCTCTTGCTTCCCCCCACACATATGTAAATACGTAACTGCTGAAAAATTCAGCAGTTACACGTTTACACAAATAAACATATTTTAACATCCCTACCTCAGCTGGAGATACCACGTAACAGATGCTGCCTAGCTAGGCCCTGCATTCTCTCCCATCTTGAGCCTCATGGGACAGAGAGATGGAGCCTTTGCTAGACAGACATACTTCTGCAGTGGACACCACAGCCACTGGAGCACACCACAAGCCCCAGGAATATACACTTCAACCACTCAGCGAATCTCTCGGCAGTACTGCTGCTGCTCCCCATGGTGCCCATTTGCTTCCCCGCCCCGTGCCTGGTGGACCTCAGCATTTCCAGCCCCAAGCCTGTGGGTATGGCAGGTGGGAAGAATGCCTTTTATATTAGGAAACCTCAGCTCCAAGGCATGGCACAGTTAAAGAGGAAAATGCATTTGTGCTACAGCATCCCTGCTCCTTTGCACTACTCTTATCTGCTCTGCCCGGCCCAGCCCAGCCCAGCACATACCCCTCTCTTAGGAAGAGGAACAGATCTCTCTGCGAACGTTGTTCTTTTGGAAAGCGAGGTTGCTGATAGCAGCTTGCGAGGAAGTGCTTTCTTGATTTCTTCCTGCTTCGCCTTGAGCCTTTCTAGAAGGTCTTGGTTTGCATGACGCAGTCTCTCCAGTTGCTCTGACTCCATCTTCTGTACGACAGTCCCTGCTAGGGCCAGAGAAGGTTGCATAACTGTGGGCACTCCACAAAGGAACAGCATGGGAAGAGCCAGACGATTGAGACGCTTACAAGTGCTGGAGGGTTTTCTGACAGTTGGACTGAGACTCCCTGTGAAAAAGCACTCTAAGGCTTTGTCTATACCGCCACAGGCTGTACTTCAGCCATATGAATAACATAGCAGAAGTTACTGTACTTAGATCTGCTTGCCGCGGAACCTTCACAGTGGTATTTCAACAGCTGATACTCTCCCGTTCACTCCGCCTACTCTTCTCATTTTGGTGGAACACTGGAGTCAACGGAGAGCACCTGGCGTTTGCTGCCCATTGATCCAGACTGGAGTGAAGACATGCCCTAAAAACAGGCACCATTTTACATCTCCACCCCCTGCCTCCAGGAAGTTATCAAGTACTTTAGGCCCCAAATCTGGGTGCTGTTAATAAAAAAGAAATTATAAAATCTAACAGAAGAAATAAACCATCATGATTTAAAACAAACAAATATTTAAATGGAGTTCGGTTTAAATAACACGGCATGAGAATGTGAAAACCAGTTAAACCGATTAGCCTAAACGCCTAAGCACAAAGCCCTGGAGCCTGATTTTTAGAGGGGTGGAGCACTTAGATAACTTTGGCCTAGGGTTTTAAAATATTTTTTGGTTTCATCATCACTATTGTAATAATTCCTAGAAATGCACACACTCTAACGACTGTACACACAGCAATCAGCCCTCAGAAGACCCTGGAGAAATATGTAGGTCAGTACTGTCACGCATGTTTTACAGATGAACTAACTAGAGCAGAAAGAGAGGAAATGACTTGGCCAAAGCCAGAATGTGAATCAGTGACTCAAACAGGGCAAGAACTGACAGCTAGTCTTATGCTTTAATGGCTAGACCACGCTGCCTCTGTCAGCAGTGATACAGGTGAAGGTAGGTAAACAACACAAACTTGCTGTGACAGTATGTCTGCCTCATTACCCAGCATGCTGGGCCGCAAGCCAGAGAAAAGGGATTTCAAAATCTAGCTCAGCCCCCTGCACTGAGGCAGGACTAAGTATTATCCAGACAGTCCCTGACTGGTGTACATCTAGCAGGTTCTTCAAAACCTCCAAGACGACAGATTCCACAGCCTCCCCTAGGTAATTTGTTCCACTGAACTACCCTTATACAGGTTGAAGCTCCCTCATCCAGCACCACTGGGACCTGACCAGTCCCAGATGAGGGATCTTACTGGACCAGGGGAGGGGATATCTGCCCTCCTGCTACTGTCTCCCCAGCCCTGGACCCACTGAAGGCCCCACTGGTCCCCATCCGCCCTTGCCTGCACTCCGGCTGCCCAACATGTTCCAGCTAGGCTGCCAGAGGGGCTAGGAGCTGCTCTGTGGGGCTGCTTGACAGGGCCCGGAGCACTCCAGCGAGGTTGTGCAGCATGCTCCAGCACTCTGGGCTTCAGGCTCCATTGAGGCTCCTGGCTCTGCCAGGCAGCCCTGCTGCAGCATGCCGGGCTTCCGGCCCCCTGCCCCGGGCAGTCCAGCTGGAGTACACTGCACAGCGTGACTGGGGCGCTTCGGGCTCCACTGGGGCACGTTAGGCTCCTGGTCCCACTGGGCAGTCCCTGTGAGCAGTCCCGCTGCGGCGCAGGGGCACGGCCAGCAGTGGGGAACTAAGCTCCTGGCCCTGCTAGCAGCTTGCTGCCAGCAGCCCTGCCAGTCTGCAGGGCTCCTAAGCACCAGCGCTTCACCAGGACTCTCTGGTCTTGGGACACCCATGGTCTTCCTGGACCAGGGGATGTTGCCGGACAAGAGAGTACTCGTTTACAGAGGTTCAACCTGTATTTTGGAAATACTTCCCAATGTCTATCCTAAATATCCCCTGCTGCAATTTAAGTCCATTACTTCATATCTTGTTCTCAGAGGATAAGGAGAACAATTTATAGCCCTCCTCCTCAGAATAAAATTTGACTTATCATTTGCCTGTCAGTCTTTCTTCCAGACTAAACAAATCCAAGTTTTTCAGTCTTTCCTTATAGGTCATGTTTTTTATACCTTTCATCATTGTTGTAGCTCTCCAATGTGACAGTATCTTGCCCGAAGCATGGCGCCCATAACTGGGCACAGTACTCCAAGGCTACGTCTACACTACCGGGTTTTGCCAGCAGAGAGTATGCTAATGAAGTGCTCAGTAGCATTTGTCATGCTGTCATTAGCATATTCTCTGCCCAAGGCTTTTTGCGCAAGATCCTTATGCCTCAAAAAAGGAGGTATACAGATCTTGCACAAAAGGGAGTTTTTCTACAAAAACGGATCCGTCTACACTGCTTTTGTGCAAAAACCTCTTGAGCAAAAAGCCTCGGGCAGATAATATGCAAATGACAGCGTGACAAATGCTAATGAGTGTTTCATTAGCATACTCTCTGCTGGCAAAACCCGGTAGTGTAGATGTAGCCCAACAGAAGCCATGCCAGGTCCTGAGTAGAGAGGAAGAATTACTTCCCATCTCTTGTTTACAAGACTCCTGCTAATACATCCCAGAATGTCATTCACTTTTTTTTTTTTTGGCAATTTCATAACATACAGTATGGTCTATACTACGTTCAATTTGTGATCCACTCCCCTCGATCCTTCCTGGGCAGGCATTTCCAATTTTGTATTTGCGCAACTGATTACTTCTTCCTGAGTAGTACTTTGTGTTTGGCCTTATTGAATTCCACCCTATTTTTATTTCAGACTATTTCTCCAGTTTGTCAAGATCATTTTTGAATTCTAACCCCATCCTTCAAAGTGTTTGCAACCCCTCCCATCTTGGTGTCATCTGCAAATTTTGTAAGTCTATTCAAGTCATTAATGAAAATATTGACAAGCACCAGACCAAGGACAAATTCCTGCAGGGCCCCTCCCTCTTGACATGCCCTTCAAGTTTGACACTGAACCATCAGTTAAAACAACAACAGAGCATGGCTTTCCACTCAGTTGTGCCTTAGGGATGTTTACATTTATTCCTGTAAACGTGTTTACACGCAACTGGGCAAGCAGGAGCTGGTGCTCATGGAAAGCCAGCTTTTAAGCCAGCTCCCCCTGCTCGCACCAACTCCTGCCTGCCTCCCCCACCCCCTGCACTGGAGCCTCTGATAAAGGCAGCAGAATGGGGGGCAGGCAGGTCTGTGGGAACTGGCACTCATGGCGAGCCATCTTAAAAGCTGTCTCCCTATGTGCACCAGCTCCCATCTGCCCCCTCTCCGCCACTTCCTCTGATACTGAGGCAGCAGCACGGGGAGTGGGGGGAGTGGGCTCGGCAGGTGCTGGAATGCACAGGGGGCTGGCCTGAAAGCCAGCTTCCCATGTGTATACGCCCTTCCCTCCTGCACTGCTGACTCTCCATCAGAGGTTATATGAGACAATATCAAAAGCCTTACCAAAGCAGAGATATGCAATATCTACTGCTTCTCCACCAGGCTCATTAGCCTGTCAAAGGGAGCCAGTAAGTTGGTTTGACATTATTTGTTTTAGACAAATTAATGGTGAGTGTTACTTATCACTTTATTCCTTCTAGCTACATACAAATAGAGAGTTTATTTGCTCCATTATCTTTCCAGTTAAGATGACTGTTCTATAACTCCCCTAGTTCTCCTTATTCCACTTTTTAAGACAGGTACTATGTTTGCTCTTCTCCAGTCTAATCACTAATAGCTCAGAGACCTCTTCAGTCCATTCCTTAAGTATTCATCAGGCCCACACTAACTGAAGACATCTGTCTTGTCTAAGTCATTCTTAACTTCTTTTAGCCTCAGATCCTACCCTATTTACCCCTGATTTTTAGTTAGTAGGACCACTGCTAACCTTTTTGGTGAAAACGGAACTAAACAAGCCATTTAACACCTGGACCATTGCTGCATGACCTGTATTGTCCCTCCCTTCCCACTGAATAAAAATTTGCCCTGTCCTTGATCCTCCTTTTGCTCCTCTTATATTCATAAAATGTTTTCCTGCTACCCTTTTTTGCTTCTGTTGTTTATAGTCATCCTTCATAACCTGACCCACTTTCCACTTTTGGTATGACTCTTTTTTGAGTTTCAGGTCATTGAAGAGTTCCTGGTTAAGCCAAGATGGTGTTTCACCTTATTTCCTACTTCCCCTATGCATTAGGACGGGTTTCTCTTGTCAGCTTTAATAAAGTCTCTTTGAAAAACTAGCAATACTCCAGGGCTCTTTTCTCCCTAGGGGCTACGTCTACACTGGCCAGTCTTGCATAAGACCATATGCCAGGGGTTCCCTAACTTTTAAACATGGGGACCAGTAAATCCATTCACGAGCTTTTGGAGGACTAGTAACATTCATTTGCATATTTGCATATTCATTAACCAAATGATGAATATGCAAATACGTTGGTTTTGGTCCTCCCAAAGCCCCCAGGGCCAGCTTTAGCAAAGCTTTTGATACGGCCACCCACAACATTCTTACCAGCAAGTTAAGGGAATATGGATTGGAAACATGGACTGTAATCCAATAAAACCCTGCACCACCACATCGTGTATTGAAAAGGGGCTCATTTATTTTCAGAAAGCTGACACCATCTTTGGAATTTTTTATCCATATTCTCATTCCGGATGGTGAATGCACCAGGTTCTCTCCATTCTGACACATTGTAGTGCCTTTAAACCTCACTGTCAGCAGTGGGGATATTTAAAAAGCACTGCTTTTACATTTGTATTCAGGATCTGCATGCACCCTGAACTGTCCTGCTCCCAGCTGGCCGATTCTCTCCCCTCTCCCTCTCCCCGGGCCAGCCCCGCTCTCCCCACCAGCTGATTCTCTCCCGATCTCTCCTGGTCAGCCTGCTGCCCCTGCCAGCCCTGCTTCCGCCAGCCGGTTCCCCAGCCAGCCCTGCGATCTCCCCCAGCCAGCCTCACTGCCCCTGCCAGCCTGTTCCCTCCCTTGCAATCTCTCCTGGCCAGCCCCACTGCTCCCACCCCCCGGACAACCCTACTTCTGCCGGCCGATTCCCCTCCTTATCTCCCCTGGGCAGCTCCACTGCCCTGACCCTGCTTCCCATATCCAACCCCTCCTCCCGCCTCCACAGCCAGCAATAAGAGCTCACCTGGTAACCCTCACTATGCTTCTGCCGGAAGCCTGAAACATATGGCTGCATCCGCCCAGCGCAGCAGAGGGCTTGGGGAACCCGCGCTGCACAGGCAGTCCGGGAGCCTGGAACACCCTGACAGCTACGCTGAGGCCCGGTATTTTTTTCCCGCAGCCTGGTACCAGTTTGGGAAACGCTGCGATATGCAAAGGAGGCGTGGCAATAAATATCACCACACCTCATTTGCATACTTAATGAACCACCATTTTTGAGCAAGAAGGAGCAGTCTACACTGCTCCTTCTTGTGCAAAAACCCCCTCTTGCACAAGAGCCATTCTGCCTGAAAATAAGCGGCAGATCAGCTCTTGCGCA